CTTGATCAAAGCAGGCCTCCAGAATTAAACTTCACCTTCACAATAATCCAAACACAAAAATACACCCCCAAAACTAACACATTAAAATATTTTTTTCATGTCACAATAGATTCAAGTTTAGTTAACCCTTACTGGGCTCTCACTCAACTGTGCTAAGCACAATGCTGGGCAATTTTTACATTCCACGTTCATAGCTTTATTTATTTATTGGTTACAACAGTCCTTTGAGATATAAAATACCATTCCATTTCATAGATGAGGAAAGCGAAGTGAAGAGACATCTGAGTGGTTAAAGGACATAGACCTCTGTCAGCCAAAGATTCTAAATCCCCTATCTCACTAGTCCCATGATGCCCTGAATATCAGACATTCAATAAGTATCTACTGAAAAATGAGCTTAACTTTTCCATCAATCTATAACTCTGGTCCTAACACTTTCATATACTGACCTGTTGCATATTGAACTTCAGTTGAAATTTCACTGGGACTAGGGATTCCAAGGGAAGTCTCTGCCTTCTCAATGACATTTGAAATACCTTGTCCTAATGAGAATAATAACATTTTTATATTTGAATATCATTTGCTACTACTTACCAAAAGTGAAGAAACAAATCAAAAATCAAATCTGCAGATTTTAAAGTTCATGACAGCCACAAGACATGTTATTTTAACCACATATAACTAATCTTTGGGAGTGTACCCTTATCCAAAAAAAAAAAAAAGAAAAGATTATCACCAAAGAATATTTTTATATTAACAATTTCTAAATATCAACCTTCTAATGAGAAAATGCTACAAACTCTAGTGGCAGTATAAAGTCACTGATCATTATAATGCATTCTCAAACTATAAAGGCTTTGAGTAAGTATGGAAGAGAAAAGATTAACAAAGTGATTTTTAACACAAATCTGTAGCAAAATACACACAAAAATTAATGATTGATGTCCTTACCTACTGTGGCTACTGTGGCTGAGGCTGAAGAGAGTAAGGACTTGCCCCAACTGCCCCAATAGCCCCATCCAGTCTGGGGTACATCTTTCGAAACAGTCTCCTATTTTCCCCCGTAGCCAGAAAAACAAAAGGCAAAGGAAAAATAAAAATTAGAGGAAAATAAAGAGTGTACATACAAGGTAGATAATTACTGACCAAAAAAATATGTGAACAAATATGTATTTGTTTGGCTAAAGAAAGGTACTGCTTGACTGACAGACATATGTTACCTGCATGTATATAAGCATCACATAGCAAAGGCAATTACTCATAAAAGCATTTACAGAACTGACAAAATTGTGTTTTTTGGTTATAAAAGGAAAGAAATAGAAACAACTGCAAGTTGATACTGATTCCAAATTCCTTTTAACCCTGATACTTTTCAATCTCAATGTTTTAACAGATTCTCTACCGTGCCTGCAGCCTGTGATGCCTGAACAGAAGGAATTTCTGGAGTCTCGAGGTCACTGGGAGGTTTGGACTCTGGTCTTCTCCGAGTAGAAGCTACAGGTTCTGATTTACTCTCTGGCTTGGTACTTTTGTCAACAGACTCAAAATTCTTGGCTGGCTCACAGTTCTCATCTTCAACGGTGGGGGCTGCTTCAGTTACCACTGGAGTCTCAATATCATCTTTATCCGACATGATTAGGTCATTGCCTGGTAAAATAAAAGCCCCCCACCAAAAAAATTAATAATGTAGGTTTTTTTGGCATAAGTTATTTGTTTAAACTTTTTTAGATCATCATAGATTCACATGCAGGTTTAAGAAATAATACAGAGCCCTAATATACTCTTTACTCAGTTTCCACAAGGTAACGATTTGTGCAACTATAGCGCATCACAACTAGGATATGGATAAAATACACCAACCTTATTCAGATTTCAGGAGTTTTACATGCACTCATTTGTGCTTGTGTAATTAGTTCTATGAAATTTTACCACATGCAGACTCATGTGACCGTTACCACAATCAGGATACAGAACAATTCAATTACAAAGATACCTTGTGTTATATATTTTTAGACACATTCCACCTTCCTCCTAAACCCATAGCAACCACTGATATTCTCCATCTATATAATTTTGTAATTTCAAGATGTTGTATAAATGCAATCATACAGCATGTAACCTTTTGAGATTAACTTTTTTCAGTTAGCATTAAGCTCCTCAAGATCCACCCAAGTTGTTTTGGTTATCAGTAGTTTCTCCCTTTCTATTGCTGACTAGTGTTCCTTGGTGTGGATGTATCTCAGTTGTTTAACCATTTACATGCTGAAGGATGTCTGGGCTGTTTCTAGTTTAGGGCTACTACAAATGAAATGGCTGTGAACATTCCTACAGAGGGTTTTATGGGAATATAAATTCTCATTTCCCTGAAATAAATGACCACAGTGCAATTGACAGAACTTGTTTAATTTTATAAGAAACTGCCATACTCTTTTCCAAAGTAGCTGTACCATTTTACATTCCCACCAGCAATGTACGAGTGATCAAGTTTTTCTTCATTTTTATAAGCATTTGGCAGTGTTATTTTTTTATGTGAACTACTATAATAGGTGTGTTAGGATATCTTACTATGGCTTTAAGGTGCTTTAAGGTGCATTTCTCTGGCTATGGCTAGATGGTTATAGCTATCTATAATTGCTAATGATTTTGAACATCTTTTCATGTGCTTATTTGCCATCTGTATGTTCTCTTCAGGGAAATACCTATTTGGATATTTTGCTCATTTTCTAATTGAAATTTTTTTTAAACTGTTGAGTCTTGAGAGCTCTTTTTACATTCTAGATTCAAGTCCTTTGTCAAATATGTGGTGTAAATATTTTATCCCAGTTTGTAGCTTATCTTTTCATCCTCTTCAAAGGGTTTTCCGCAGAGCCAAAGTTTTTAATTTCAATGAGGTCCAATTTATCAACTTTTCCTTTAATTGACTATCATTTAAAGAAACATATTAGTCATGAATCATTCCTACTTCAATTTTTCAAAGAGAAAATTATGAAATTTAAGCTATCAAAATAAGACTGATATCAGACCAGCTTGTGAATAGCAATGTTAACCAATTCAATTCCTTCCAGAAATACAGCTCTTTGGCAATTAAAGCCAAGATACTACTGGTGTTTTTACAAAGAGCAGATGCTGGTTTCCAGGATAACCAAATATTGCTGGGAAGAAATAAATACATCTCACACATACATACATACACACACATGCCCATCCAGACTATGGGTATGTATAAGCACATATTCTGTACCATATACTAAGTGCAGAATTAGACCCAATCCATCACAACGTTTCTAACCTACTAGAAGAGAGAAACATACTAACAACTAAGGCAGCCTGGAAGTAGGACTATAATTGAGGTACACACAAAATGTTAAAAGAACAGAGAGGAAGGAAAAGTCTAGATCAGGAAATAACATTCATGGACTTTAAATATCTGAAATGAGCATATAATAGTGACCACGAACTGGAATTTTGAGTCCAAATTTAGCCTACAGATGTTTTTATTTGGGCTGTAGAGTGTTTAAACTTTTTTAAAAAAACTAATTGCTAACATTTAAAAATCAGACTTCATATACACATATAACTTCCAATTTCTCTTGTAAAATTGAAAGATTTGGCAACACTGGGCCCACATTCAACTTGGTAATAACTAGCTCATGCCAAACAGTTGCTGGGATCTTTTAGACAGGGTAGCGTTCTCTAGCTCCCCATAGTCTCCACCTAAATCCACCTGCCTCATTTATGTCACCTGATTAGCCCCTGTGGGCATCTGAGTTTGCAACACCTGCTTTAAAGGGCTCTTAGAATTTTGACATATGAAGATGCCAATGAGAGAACTGAAGGGTGTGGCAACATGTGGGAAAGCTCAAAGGTCTGAGGTTTGACAGCATGGAATATGGACAGACACTAGAAGTAATTAAAATGGCAAGGAGAATAATAAGGAGGCATAAGGCTAGAAAAGTGGGTTTATGTAACACCATGGATCCTAGACCATATGGTGTATGATATACATACATTATACATTTCCAAAACACATAGAAAAAAACAATCTAGATACAACTACCCATTGCATACAAATCAACTCCGATATACTCACTTATTTACTTGAAAACATTTTTTGAGTATCTATTACATACCAAGCTCTGGCGATTGAGAACTAATTTAAGACAATTTCCTCGCCACTTACTATAGAAGCCTAATAAGAAATATTACACAGTTCTCACACAAAGTTCAGTACACGTTTTGTGTAGTTGAATAAATACACGCTTTTTTAAAAAATAACTTCTCGTTCTCCTTATGCTGTCTCCAAGTTACAAGCTACCATCATCATCCTAAGTTATACATAATATAATAAATAATAATATAAAGGGCTCTGGAATTAAACTGACTTTCTCCCAATTCCGTACTGCAGAGATTGTGGGAAGTTAGTTCACCTATCTGCGTCTCCGCTTCCCCATCTGGAAAATGCGGTGAGTAATGCCTACTTGCCAGAGGTCCTAAAAAGACGAAACGACACGGTGGATGTGAGGGGTTTGAAACTGAGCCCGGCACATAACCGCACACGGGTATCAGCTGCTGTTGGTACGAAGTGGTCGTTTCGTTACTCTCGTTATTAACAAAAAGGTATGTCTCCACACAAAGAAAATCCGCTCTCCCCTCTTTCAAATTACACGAACAGGTGCCAAAGGGGAAATCTGGTGTAAACGCGCTCTCCTAAGTTTCTGACGCTGACGGCGACAAGAATTCCTCACACAAGCGTAGCGCTTCAATAACCAAAGCGCTTCCGTAGCCTCACCGTCCACCGCGAGGCGCCCGCCGCCCAGCCCGGGGCAACTGCCTCCCCTTCCTCGGCGACCCCTGGACCCCGCACCCAGCCCTCCTCCTCAGGGGAAGCCCCTCATCCAACCGACCGCCACCCTCACCGCCGCCACAGCCGCCGAAAAGCCGCTCCTATTGCCCCGGAAGTCCTCCTTCAGGGCGGAGGCAGCCTCGCCTACTCGAGAGAACTTCCGGGTCAAGCAGCCAGTTCGGCCGGAAAAAGCTCGGCGCTCGTCTGGTGAGTTGGGGCTTGTTGGGGGTCGCTACTGCGGGAGGCACTGAGGGTGCCGAGGCGTGGGTTTGGGTGGTGGGTCGGGGTATGACGTGAAGGAAGGTAGAGTATCCACGGCCCTTTTGAAGGTCTGGCCTGAGCTGCCGAAGTTCGGACATCGTATATTTACTGAGCACCACCTACTTGTCAGGCACTACCCTGGGTGCTTGGGACACACTGGTTTACGAGCGACAGTAGCCTTGTTCTCAGGTAGTTGACGTCCTAGTGGACGAGGCCCACGTAGTAGTGAGTGCATTAGAGAAAATTAGACAGAATAAAGTGACAGCGAAGCGAAGAAGTAAACCTTAGGAAAATCTAGAGATGAGTATTAGAAGCAGAAGGAATAGCAAGTGCAAACGCCTTTTCCTGGAAACAAACAGTCTGGTCAAGAAAGAGGAAGAAGGCCACTGTGAATGGAGCAAAAAGAGGAAGATGAGGCAAGAGGCTTAAACTGGGCAAATTTTGTAGAGTTGGTGAGCCAGGACAAGGATTTTGATTTTTTTTTTTTGAAGAGCATTGGAAAAGCATTGAACGTTTCTATGCAGAAGAGTGACATGCTCTAATTTATGACTTTAGCTTACTCCTGACTCCTGATCAAAAAGATGTACCTCTTCTGTTGCCCTTGAGCAGTGGGAATGCATGAAACCCGAACTGAGCGCCAGAAGAGCATTAGAGACACCCTCATTGAATAGATGTGAAAAACTAAGTCCCAGAGAAGGGACCTGGCCTTTTAAGAACCCAATGCCAACTTCATTTAATGCTTTCAGAATTATCATTTTGATGTCTAAACACAGTCTCTTCCTAAAACCCTTCAGATGGTGGGTCTTTAAATTTAGGGACATCAGTATCACCTGTGAGCATGTTAAAAACGACCTATTCCAAAAAAACCAAAAACATTATATATGTATAAAATAGGTACTTTCCTCTGATTTTCTTTTGTAATGGAAAGTTTATAAAATTTGGGGTTTAAGACTAGAATGTCATTAAGCTGCTTAACTGTGTCTTAAGCTTATCTTTAAAGTACTGCTGATAATAATGATAACTAAAAGCATTCAAATTTTTGGTCTTAGCATCCCTTGACACTTTTAAAACCTATTGGGAACATCAAAGAGTTTTTATTTGTGTGAGTTTTATCTGTCAACGTGTACCATTTTAGATATCAAAATAATTTTTTAAGTTATTTATTTAAAATGATAAATTCAGTACATGTTAACATAAATAGCATTTCTGTCTCCTTCTGCATTCATTCTCTTGTGATGTCATTCATTATGTAGCCTCTAGAAAATTGTACCGTACTGTGTGAGAATGAGAGTGAAAAAGACAAATAATGTTCTAGTATTATTATGAAATCATTTTGAAAAGGTCTCAGGGACCCGCAGAGGCTCTTGTGCCACACTTTGAGAATCACTGAATTAGAGTATGATTATGACAATCAAAAGATACATGGGCTTGGTTTGTAAGTCATTAAAACTACATGCACATTAAAAATGCAGATGCCCAGGCCTCACCCTTAGAGATGCCAAATTGGTAAATCAGAGTGGAGCCAAGAAATCTTCATCTTTAACAAGCACAGATTAATTTGATGTAAGTGGTCTAATAATTGCAGTTTGAGAAAACCAGTTATAGATTGAATTCACTCTAGGGTGGTCTGCCCACTAAAATTTTAACAGCTGTTTTCATGTCATCATATCTCTCCCTAACAATTTCCAGAGCCCGCGACTGAAAAGTCATTAAGAAGTTTGTGGCAGGTACCGTTCTGACTACAACGTTAATAAGTGTCTGAATTCAAAATGTTATATTTTTTTGGAGGGGGGAGGTAATTAGGTTTGTTTGTTTGTTTATTTATTCATTTAATGGCAGTAATGGCAGTTGAACCCAGAACCTCGTACATGTTAAGCACGCGCTTTACCACTGAGCTATACCCTCCTCCCCTGAATTCAGAATGTTGAGTCCAATCTTAGATCAAGGACTAAGGTTTTTAGATTCTGTCATTAGTAAGCTTACAGTCTTTTGGACAAACAGACAACTGATAAAAAAAGGAAACTGTCAAAGAATAAAATAATACCATTTGCAGCAACATGAATGGACCTGGATATCATCATTCTAAGTGAAGTAATCAAGAAAGAGAAAGAAAAATACCATATGCTATCACTTATATGTGGAATATAAATAAAAGGACACAAGTGAATTTACTTACAAAACAGAAACAGACTCACAGACATAGAAAACGAACATGGTTACTAGGGGGAAAAGGGGGTGGGAAGTGATAAATTGGGAGTTTGAAATTTGCATATACTAACTACTATATGTAGGATAGATAAACAAATTTATACTGTATAGCACAGGGAACTATATTCAATATCTTGTAGTAACCTATAGTGAAAAAGAAATGAAAAGGAATATATGTATGTATATGTATGACTGAAACATATATGCTGTACACCAGAAATTCACACAACAGTGTAAACTGATTATACTTCAGTTTAAAAAATGGGAAAAAAAAAAGGAAACTGTCTTACCATCGAGTACTCTCAGTGTACTAGGGGACTGACAGAGCAAAAGAAATTCATCCCAAATTAAGAGGGTAAAAATGAGAGCTTAGGTGAGAAGTGAGTTGGATATTGTACAGAAGGTCAGATTTCCCCAGGAAGATGGGTGGGGAGGAGGGCAGGAAGTTTCAAGCAGAAAGAACAACTAGAACCAGAACTTTAAAGTGAAAAGAATAGAGAGAAAAATAGATGTAGTTAAGACTTTGAATCATGACGGGGAAGCTGGAAAAACTGTAGGATTTAAGCAGAGAGGATTGATAATCAGTCTGAAGCTGAGGAACCTAAGACCACTAGAGGTCATAGCTAATTAGTGACAGAGGTGTAACTAAAAACCAAACTTGACTTCTAAATCCATTCATTTTTTAGCAAGCAGTTATTGTGCCTGCAGGCACAGCTGGGCTCTATCTAGCTGCTTCTGTTCTGCCAACTGAGTTTATTCCTGGTGAATTGTGGTTACTAGACTAGAATTTGAAACTTATCTCATGGGCAGTGGAAAATAACCAGTGGATTTTAAAATTGCCTTAACTTTCTTAGATTTGTGTTTAGGACCAATTGTGAGGGGAGCAGTGTATGGGACATCAAAGGGATATAATTGGAGTTCAGGAGACCCATTTATAAGAGTAGTGTGGTACCCAAGTAAGGTAAAAGGGCTGTGACCTAGGGCAAGGACAGTAGGACTTAATTGAAAAACATCTAGGAGGTAGAAGAAGAAGAAGAATAAAAGCATGTTTTTACCATGTACCCATATTAGTTCATCTAATACTCACAACTACCCTATGAGGTGGTTACTCTTAATAACTTTATTCAGTAGATGTGTGTACTAAGGCTCTTGAGCTCACAGCTTCAGCCAGGGATAGGATCAGGCATCCTTAACTTGAGTCCATGCTCCTGACCACACAACCATGATAATACTGTTTAAGTGTGATCTTGCAAACTGGAAGAATTGTATTTATGGCTATCATCCATGCTGTATATGTGCTGGTCGGGTAGATCTGAGGCTGAGAGTGAGGAGTTACTTTAGTTATACCAAGTTTGAGATTTTGGGGGATTTTTCAGACTATGGAGAAAAACAAAGGACAAGGAGATCATAAATCTAAGCCTGTTACATCGTTGTCTTTGTGTGGCTTCAGCAAATGCTTATGGCAAAAAGGATAAAAGTCAAGAGTATAATAATCCTGGGTTTGAAGCAAAGCTCCAGCAAATGCAGATGTTTCTCAGTGTGCCAGAAAGTATGTTGAAGTTTGAGCTGAGTGCCTAAATGCCAGTGATGAGGTGTGTGATGGCTCCAAGATACTATTGGGAGCACTAGGGCTATTTTAATTAGAAACTTTTTGGGAAATGGCCCTCGAAATGGTGATTTCTGTTTGAATATTATTAACCTTTTAATGTTACAGATCCCTATATAATGCTTGAGTATAAGCAGAACAGCTTTATGTTTGTTCTCTGCAAAGCACAGAAGAGTGCTAACAGTCTGCTCTTCATTTGCTTTTTCTCTCCTTTGCCAATTCAGAATGCCACTTTGACCATTTGTGTGCTGAGTATAGGGGAACTTCTCCATTTTTCAAGTGTAAGAGTGCAGGCAGAGAAGAGTGGATGAACTGTAAATACAGCCTCTAACACATTTAATTATGGAGAGTGAGGCATTAATATCCCAGTATACTTGGAGCAAAAACCAATACCATCTGGGCATCACTGTTTTTCCTCCCTTTGAGTTATCTCAGAACTATTTCTGCAAACAGCAGGTTCCTCCGCCAACTTAATATTGAGCCACGAGAACGGAAATCAGCCACATTACTTCCTTATTTACTTCTGTTGAGAATTGGAACAGAATGGAAATATTTCTTCTCTCAGAAGTTGGCAGGAGCAGCAACAAGGCAATCTGTTAGGGATGACAGCTTAAGTGCTTTTCTTTCTTTTTTTTTCTTTCTTTTTATTTTTTAATGATATAGCCAATATCCAGGATGGTTCTGTAGGGTAAAATCATCTACAGTTCTGATTATTCATGATCCTAGGAAAGCTTTCATTTTACTGTACCTAAAAAATGAAAAAGGAGTTAGACAAACTTGAATATCACACTTTCCTGTTATTCATGCTGAAGAAAGGTAATAAAAAATTCTACCAAGTAACTTTACAAGCATAGCATAGCCCTTTTTAACTGTTTACATGAAGATGGCGCTTTGATTTTCCTTTTTAAACTCTTTCTTCATAGCCTCCATATGTCAGCTGCTGCATTCAGATAGCAGGCGTGATATTATGGGTAGTCCCAAAGTTAAAGGGAATTGCATTCCTAAAATTCAAGAAGTTCCTTTCTTTTTTGCATTCACAGCACAATTATTCTCTTCAGTACTTCTCACACCAACTTGTATATAGTCAGCTATTTCTGGCCCTGCCTTCCAGGCTGGCTTGTAAATTCCTGAG